GCTATTTGCTTGTACAACCAATGTTTGTAGAACTTGATGGAATTACCTTTCCTCTGTGGCATTTATTTTTGTCAACAGCGAGTATTTACTCATTTCTTGATGTCAATTACATTATTTGATGAAGCAATCACCAACACACACCAACTATGATATGCTAAGCTCTTCCCAAATGTCTAAATAAAGAAGAAGTTTTTCGGGGCAAGAGTCAAGCGGCCACAGATTGATACTTTTTCACTCTTGTTTAACGAGCGTATTTATAAGACTTTGATTGGAGACATCATGCGACGGTTAAACTTGTATGCCTTCCCACAATTGGAATCGCTCATTCAACCTCTTCATTGCTCGTCAATCAAGCAATGCACAACTCACAACACTTTCACGTCTAAGAGGTGCTTTGGAACACGAGACCATAACCTAAGGGGCAATTAACGTATCAAATGACGTACGAAATGAATAAGGTTTGACACTACTATATTTTTCGTTATCTAAGGCGAATTATTTGGAAATAATAAGAAAGACAATTAGTTAGGTGGCGTTTGGTTCGTGAGTATGGGGATTAACAACTTCAAAACACCCGTTATGCAAAAACTTTTCTGTATGACATAGTATGAAAAAAAGATTTACCGAATTAAAAAAAAAAAAAATATCACCAGACTAAAAGAATAGCTAGATGGAAGCAAACTTATCAAAAGAATACCAAAACTCATGAACCAACCTTCATATCCCAAGTTCCTATAAAAACAATTTGGGCTACCTTTGTGTAAGAGGGGCTTTAAGTTCCTTAAGATTGCCAAGGGCTTCACAACAAAACCAAACCCATCTGCGCCAAGGTCACAATGGTAATTTAGCACAACTAGGGTTTCGATTCTTTCTCCTCACTACTGTTTAAACCAGCTTCTGAAGTCACCTAGGCACGCCTCGGGGCTCATTTTTAAAACACTAAGACTAAGACTCAATTAATTAAAATCTGACTCTAGCAAATGACTTATTAGTTACAAACTCACATAAGCATAAATTACAAATAAATATACTAATTGTCAACACTTATAATAGTCATTACAATTATAATATGTTAACACTTATAATGTGTTTAGGAAGACCTCTGAATAAGTTAAATTAATAATTAAAATATATGGTTTGTTTGGTTTGGTTTGATTTTTAAATTGTATTTTATTTTATTCTTGATCAAAACCAAATCAACCGCCCAAAACAGTTTGAATCGATCAATTTGATGCTACCCCTACAAGCTATACAATGAGTCAGTCATGATAGTTATCAAACCCATCATGCATTTGAGTCAAAGCTAAAATTTCAAATTTACAAGTGTAAATAGTTTGATACCTTTACAAGCTATACAACGACCACACTTCTAATAGTTTTGTTTGTTCATGTTCCACATTACAATCACTACCATTAAGTGTGCGAGTTCAAAATAATGCTTTACTTCTTTCAATATTAAGAAGAGAAATACCATAAACTAGATGAGCCAACGATGATGCCTCAGATGGCTTGAACGAGCATGCATTTTTTCCGCCATGGAGATGAGCAAACTTTCAAATTCAACAGAAAGATTTTTAGATTCAGGTAACTCTTACACAAAAATTGACACCCAATTGAGCGCCTTAGGTGCACCTTAGCCACGTTTAGGCGAGTTTTCGCCTACTCTCATTGGGCAAATGCGATTTCACCGCCCCTGCATCCGAAGTTGCCTAGGCACGCCTAGGGGCTCATTTTTAAAACATTGACTAAAAATAAGATTCAATTAACTAAAATCTGACGCTAGCAAATGACTTAATAGTTACAAACTCGCATAAGCATAAATTACAAATAAATATACTAATTGTCAACACTTATAATAGTCATTACAATTATAATATGTTGACACTTATAATGTGTTTAGGAAGACCTCTGAATAAATTAAATTAATAATTAAAATATATGGTTTGTTTGGTTTGTTTTTATTTTTAAATTGTATTTTATTTTATTCTTGATCAAAACCAAATCAACCGCCCAAAACAGTTTGAATCGATCAATTTGATGCTACCCCTACAAGCTATACAACGAGTCAGTCATGATAGTTATCAAACTCGTCATGCATTTGAGTCAAAGCTAAAATTTCAAATTTACAAGTGAAAATAGTTTGATACCTCTACGAGCTATACAACGACCACACCTCTAATAGTTTTGTTTGTTCGTGTTCCAAATTACAATCATTACCATTGAGTGTGCAAGTTCAAAATAACGCTTTACTTTTTTCGATATTAAGAAGAGAAATACCATAAACTATATGAGCCAACGGTGATGCCGCAAATGGCTTGGACAAGCATGCATTTTTTCCGCCATGGAGATGAGCAAACTTTCAAATTTAACAAAAAGATTTTTAGATTCAGGTAACTCTTACACAAAAATTGACGCCCAATTAAGCGCCTTAGGTGCACCTTAGCCACGTTTAGCGAGTTTTTGCCTACTCTCATTGGACAGATGCAATTTCATCACCTCGCATTCAAAGTCGCCTAGGCACGCCTCGGGGCTCATTTTTTAAAACACTGACTAAGACTAAGATTCAATTAACTAAAATCTGACGCTAGCAAATGACTTATTAGTTACAAACTCACATACGCATAAGATACAAATAAATATTTTAATTGTTAATAGTCATTACAATTATAATATGTTGACACTTATAATGTGTAACATCCCACATTGCCCGACGAGAGAGGGGGTGATGTGCTTTATATGTACATGCCCACCTCTATATAGCACGAGACATTTGGAAACTCACTGGTTTTTTGTTTCATCGGAACTCCGAAGTTAAGCGAGTTCGGGCGAGAGCATTCTCAGGATGGGTGACCCCATGGGAAGTTCTCGTGTGGGTTCCCAAAAACAAAACTGTGAGGGTGTGGCCGGGGTCCAAAGAAGACAATATCGTGCTACGGCGGAGTCGAGATTGGGATGTGACAAAATGGTATCAGAGCCACTTTGCCGTGTGGTGCGAGTGTACCGACGAGGACGTCGGGCCCTTAAGGGGGGTGGATTGTAACATCCCACATCGCCCGACGGAGAGGGGGTGATGTACCTTATATGTACATGCCCACCTTCATATAACACGAGGTTTTTTGGGAACTCACTGGCTTCTGGTTCCATCAGGAATTCGAAGTTAAGTGAGTTCGGGTTAGAGCATTTCCAGGATGGGTGATCCCCTATGAAGTTCTCGTGTGAGTTCCCATAAACAAAATTTGTGAAGTTCTCATTACAATTATAATATGTTGACACTTATAATGTGTTTAGGAAGACCTCTGAATAAATTAAATTAATAATTAAAATATATGGTTTGTTTGGTTTGGTTTGATTTTTAAATTGTATTTTATTTTATTCTTGATCAGAACCAAATTAACCGTCCAAAACAGTTTGAATCGATCAATTTGATGCTACCCCTACAAGCTATACAATGAGTCAGTCGTGATAGTTATCAAACTCGTCATGCATTTGAGTCAAAGCTAAAATTTCAAATTTACAAGTGAAAATAGTTTGATACCTCTACGAGCTATACAACGACCACACTTCTAATAGTTTTGTTTGTTCGTGTTCCACGTTGCAATCATTACCAAGTGTGCGAGTTCAAAATAACACTTTACTTCTTTCGATATTAAGAAAAGAAATACCATAAACTAGATGAGCCAACGGTGATGCCGCAGATGGCTTGGACGAGTGTGCCTTTTTGCCGCCATGGAGATGAGCCAACGGTAGTTTCCTTCTCAGCTAAGTTGTGTTTTATGTATGTTTGTGCCGCCTAACGATTTGTGTGGCCTTGCTTCTTAGTGATGTATATTTTTTGGGCTATTTTCTACTTTCTCTTTAAATATTATAGCTTAGGAAAATTTGAAATCAAACCCTTATAAATGAAGGACAATTCTTTTACAATAACTTAAAGTGTTTACAGTGCTTATTCAAAATTCGCTCAAATTTTTATCAATGATTAGTTTAAAAAACATTTTCATCATAAGCGCTGACGCTACCATAATGATAACTTGATTAATTCTTTTTGTTTTTGAAATTATAATTTATTTAGTTCAAAAATGTAGAATTATACTTGCAGTCTCGAGTTTGAATCTCTCTCTTTAGTAGTGATATTGACCTTTTTGAACTATTATTTTAATTTTAAAAGCTTCTAAATAAATTTAGACGTATAAAGTTCTAAACAATAAACTTATATATAACTCGTTTTGATGTACTTTTAAAATGACTGAAAGCATTTTTGAAGAAAATATTTTTGGGTTCCAATGAGAAGCACCAGTTATGTGTTTCTTCAAGAAAGCATTTAAGTGTTTTTTTCCAAGATTTATTACCATTTTTACCAAGGACTAATTTAAAAAATATTTTCATCAAAAATATTTTCAGTCATTTTAAAATCACATCAAAACGAGATCATAATAATTCAGTCCACTTATAGAGTAGGGGTGGTTACATATCTTATTAAGTTGGAAATTTCAGGAGAAGTTGCGTCCGCAAAATCCCCAACAACAATGGAGATTAGTTCGCCTACTTCCGGAGGCCGGACTGAACCGCTTCCGGTCTCACAAGACGACACCGTACAGCCGGACGGAAACACACCGTGGAGACTCGATGTTAAGGAGTTCCGGCTGCCCCAGCAGAGCGGTACTAGTGGTGACGACCATGACAGTGGACGGAGTCGTTTCGCTTTCCGTCGCCTCTGCGCCCCCAGTAAGGGTTCTGTTCGTCGTTTTCTTTCTTACCTGTTTCCTTCTTTGTGTTTGTATTACATGCAATGTTAGTAATCTTGGTCGTATTAAGTAAAGATTGAATCGTGGGGTTTATGATTTATCTGCAAAACTCACTTTGTTCTTGGGCTCTTTGGTGAATTGGTGTTAATTATTTTTCTTAATGCATAATTTTAAGAGGATTCAAACTTGAAAGATTAAAACTTTTTGGAAGATTTGGATTGTGTGCAGAAAATAAAAACAGGGTTGTTCTGTTCTTTTTTTTTTTTTGCCTTTTTGGAAAGGATAGTGGGTCAATTTCATTACCAAACACAAAGGAACAATACAAGGTCTAAAGATAGAGAAGCATAAACAAAAACAAAACAGGCCCAAAAGACCCAACAAACAGTAAAGGCCCAAGCTCTACAATACGACAAAAGAAAACCAAAGCTTCCCTTGCAGCATCCGCCGCCGAGCATCCCTACCAGCACAAACCCTCGACATCAACCAACCGACGCCTCACCGTTGCAACATCCAACCAGGGAGCACCTGTCCGAACACAGCCACACGGACGAGAACCAAGAACCATGTAAAGGAAGTCCGTGGGATTCCACGAGCAACACTGCCAACAAAGGCAGACAGTGAGAAGGTGGTGGTGTTGAACACCCCGAGCCGGTGGGAACACCGGAACTCTACACACCATCTCGAAGTACAACAACAAATCGCGGTTTTGAAGCGGCTGCAGATCAGAGCAGAGATGAGCAAGGAGAAATGCCGATGGGGGTATGAAGAAATGGGGCAGATCGGAAAGGAGAGCAGGGGAAAAACAGCAAAAAGAAAGCACAACCACCGACCCCAGCCACAGCTAGGGTCGGCGGCATCGGGTTTGATCGGAAGTGGAACCCTCACACAAGCGGTGGTGAGAAAGGTCTCTCAAGCAGAGAGAATTAGTTTGGACCTAACCCAAGATTCTTGTTAAAGTGGAAAATCTTAAGAGTGAATTAATTAAAGGGTGATTACTAATTTTGGATGTTCAGTGTGTTATCTGCAATGACTTGTCTTTTATATTTTGGCATTTGTAGTTTGCAATTTATATTATACTTTAAGTTTGAAATAATTTATTCTGTGCTTGGGGAGATCATCGAAAGTTGAACGTTGTGATATTTTGACATGATTTATAATTCGGTTTTTTTTTTCTTTCCAAGTTTGCAAGTCATGTACTTTTATTGACCTTGAACTTGTCTAATGAGTTCCTTTGCATATTTTTCGTGAATAATTTTGTGTTCAATCTGCAACTGGAACAAGAATGATGTTTAGCATGCTACGTGAAGCTATCACTGCTGAGGTTTTAGATGAACGCTGTCGAAATCCATCAAATTTTCCCATACTAATTGCTTGATATATTTTGTTGAACTTTATGGGCCTCATGTTGAATTAACCTGTAATGGTTTTATCAATAATGATAAATTTAGGACACTTTTGGCTTTTAAACTCAGGGAAAGAGTTCAAGGTTGAAGAATATTACAAGCAACAAGAAAGGCTTCTTGAAGGGTTCAGTGAGATGGAGACCATGACTGAAGAGGGTTGGTTGCCCGCAAGTCTTACAGAGGTTTGTTCAATTTGTATGTTATCCCTCTCTTTGTATTGAGATTTGGATATTCGAATTTTATTTTTCGTACTTATTTATTTTCAGTTTGTGGAATTAAATGCGTTGTAGTTATATTTTGAGGGGGAGGGCACAGAAGCTGCCAAGTCTTAGCAGTTTGTTATCCTTGAATTTTATTTTCTCTACATTAGACATATAAGTGCACAAGTCTGGTTAATGAGTTGTTTCTCACAGCATGAAATTTCTTGGAATGACAAATTTCTCAATTAAACTCGTGTCTTTTGCATACATTTCTTCTCAGGATCAAATGAAGCAGCTAGCGAAGAGGGAGCGGATGGCAGTTCATGCATCAAACGTAGCTAATTTGCTTCTTTTTGCCGCAAAAGTTTATGCTTCAATTATGAGCAGATCATTGGCAGTTATTGCCTCTACCTTGGATTCCCTCTTGGATCTCTTATCTGGCTTTATTTTGTGGTTCACTGCTAATGCCATGAAAAATTCCAACCAGTTTCGCTATCCGATTGGGAAGAAACGTATGCAACCAGTGGTAAGTTATCAAGCTTGATAACAATTGTAATTTTGGAAATAGTTGGGTCTTCGTTCCCACAATGAGTGGATGAATTGGAGCTGCATATTTTCTGTGTTCTCCAATTGGATCTCTTGTCCGGCTTGATTCGCCATATTCTTATTTTTTGTGTGCGATGGCAAGTGCCTTCGCCCATGAGCGGTAGGTCTCGGGTTCGAGACTTGGGAGCAGCCTCTCCATAAATGGGGGTAAGGCTAGCCGACATTCACCTCTCCCAGACCCTGCGTAAAGCGGGAGCCTTGTGCACTGGGTACGACCTTTATATCTTTAATTGTGTTTGATCATGCAGGGTATCATTGTCTTTGCATCTGTTATGGCTACTCTTGGACTGCAAATATTGATTGAGTGTGGTCGGGAACTCATCTCACAGGCAGGTGACACCTTTTTTTATATTTTTCTTCGCACTCCATCTTTGAAGTTGGACTAAGAAGACATCTGGCCAGGTTTCAGACTGTTTTATGGGTTCTGAGAAAGCTCTGATATGTTCCGGTGTTCCCTTTTAATTGTCTTCTATTATGTTTTTGTGGAAGCAAAACATTAGATTTTCAGTGTTATTTGGAACTGATATTTTGAATCTCAATCCTGGGGATGGTTTCTTAGCCTATTTCTGTCTGATCTTTTTTCTTCTGGCCGCAGTTGCTTCGTTATGTAAAAACAATTGTCTAATTATGTCCTCACATTTCACTTGCTGCATTCTAGCTAGTTTTTATGGTCATCCTAGTGCTGACAGTTAAAACTGGATTTCATGTAAATCAGAAACAACAGATAGGTCTATTTGACATCACTAGGTCGTTTTTTCTTCATCAAATGAACGGAGTTCATGGTCCTATATGCAATTATTTGGTGTAAATATATGGTTACGTTGTAGATCTTAATTTAGCTTGTTTTGTAATTAATGTTGCTGCTGTATCCTTTGTATCATTTTGTGGGTGCAGTCACCGCCTGCAAAAATGAATCGTACGCAGGAGAATTGGATGATCGGCATCATGGTCTCAGTCACGGTAGTGAAGTTTGTGCTCATGGTCTACTGTCGTAGATTTAAGAATGAAATTGTACGGGCCTATGCACAAGACCATTTTTTCGATGTCATTACTAATTCAGTTGGTTTAGCAGCAGCAGTCCTAGCTGTCCGGTTCTTCTGGTGGATTGATCCTACTGGTGCTATTATAGTAAGTTCTTCATTTACCATTTTTGCTCCTGCTGATCTGCTGTACTTTTTAATCATTAATGTTAACTTCATTCTCTAGCCGACCCCACTTAGTGAGAAAAGGCTTTGTTGTTGTTGTTGTAATGTTAACTTCATTCTCGAACACATTATGCAGATAGCACTATATACCATTAATACGTGGACAAAGACAGTCTTGGAGAATGTACATGCGCTAATTGGAAGAACAGCACCACCTGACTTTTTGGCAAAGTTGACATACTTGATATGGAACCACCACGAAGAGATCGAGCACATTGATACAGTGAGGGCGTACACATTTGGTTCCCATTACTTTGTGGAGGTTGACATTGTCTTGCCAGAAGACATGCTACTGAACAAAGCGCACAACATTGGCGAGACTCTCCAAGAGAAGCTTGAGCAACTCCCTGAAGTGGAACGGGCTTTTGTGCATATAGATTTTGAGTTCACTCACAGGCCGGAACACAAGAACAGTGTATGATAACGATGACAGCGGTAGTGAAGATGGTAGTAACTTGTAGAGCTATGTGCAGGCCGAAGTTTTTTAAATAAGCGCCGGGTTGTGCATTCATTTTGTTATTGCTATTTGCTTGTACAACCAATGTTTGTAGAACCTTTCCTCTGTGGCTTTTATTTTTGTCAATAGTGAGTATTTGCTCATTTCTTGGTGTCAGTTATATTATTTGATGAAGCAATCACTAACACACACCAACTATAATATGCTAAGCTCTTCCCAAATGTTTGAATAAAGGAGAAGTTTCTCGAGGCAAGAGTCACGCGGCCACAGATTGAATCCTAAAACGTTATTGCGTTTGGTTCTGTATCACATTCTCCGTTAGATTGCGTAACGGTTAAATTGTTACATCCAACAATTTATCCAGATGAAGAGGGAAAACTTGAGTCATTTATCTGCCTTCCCACGAGTGAAATCCCTCATTCAACCTCTTCGTTGCTTGCCAAACAAGCAGTAAACAACTCACAACACCTTCATGTCTCAGAGGTTCCTTGGAACACGAGAGCGTAACCTAAGGGCCAATTAATGTATCAAGTCACGCACGAAATGAATAAGGTTAGACACTATTTTCCGTTCTCTGAGTTTAATCGTTTGGAAATAATAAGAAAGACAACCAGTTAGGTGGCGTTTGGTTTGTTAGTAGGGGGGTTAACAACTTTGAAACACCCGTTATGCAAAAAATCTTCCGTACGACATAGTATGACAAAAAGGCATAACAAACATTTTAAAGAGGAATATCATCAAACCAAAGGAATAGCTACATGGAAGCAAACTAATCAAAGGAATACCAAAACTCATGAACCAACCTTCATATCCCAAGTTCCTATCAAAGCAATTTGGGCCACCATTGTGTAAGATGGGCTTTAGGTTCCTTGAGATTTCCATGGGCTTCACAACAAAACAAAGGTCACCATGGTAATTTGGCACAACTAGGGTTTCGATTCTTTCTCCTCACTAGTATTTAAACCCGCCTCCAGACTCACATCCATCATCACAGCAAAGCATACCTCCGGCCTCCTCCAACCCTGTGTCTTTCTCTTAATTTTTTTTTCTCATTTTTGTGGTGATGAAATTGGCCCGTGATGTTTTGATATTGTATTGTCCGTACCATCCGAGATATTTTGGTATCTTTGATGATTCAATCACTAGCCTCTGAGGCCTCCTCTTACCCTTTTAATAAAGTATTTTAATTTGTCCAAATTTTTGGTAGTTTTTTGGCGAAGAGAGGCAGTGATGATTAAATCTGTGTACCATCAAACTTTGAGAGCTCTGGATTTCGGGCTTGTTGATGCCAACTTTACACTCTGAGCCTTTTTTTTATTCATAATATCTGAAATTTTTGTGTTGATTTGTGTGTTTTGTATTGTTTTTCTATTGGGTAATTGGGGTTATTGAGAAAGCATGGGAATTTGTTGGGTTGGGTGATTGGAAAGGCAACAAATTAGAGTCTCTGATTCGCTTGTTTCGATAGCGTAATTAGTGCTGTACGTTGCCGATAAGAAGATGGGAACTGAGATTCTGGCATTTGCCTTTTACTTCCATAAAGTTTATGCATTCAGATGTTCCCACATCCTAATTAAAAATTCAAATTAATTGTATTTGTGTAATTTTATTGGAAGAGTCTCTAATGTTCTAAATGCAGATTGTTTCCATGCTATTTGATTCTGGGTGTTTCAGCCAATTGGGTTGCTTCTGGCCCATTTGGTAAACTGTTAATTTGGAAATGTCTCCATCTTAGGTGGGTAACATTTTAATCTGAATCCTGTTTGGGGATTTTTTTTGGAATTTTTTTGATGAATTTGTTTGAGTTGGAAGTGGGATCTGGCAAGAATGATGATTCAATTAGATGTGTGAAAAAAGGAGAAATCTTTTTTCATGAACTCAATTATTTGAGGCATTTGGATTTGTCTGACTTGCTTTCCATATCCATATAAAATTTGAAGTTAATTGTAGTTGGTGTTATTTAATTGGGGTTTTGGAAAGGCAACAAATTAGAGTCTCTGATGTTCTAAATGCAGTAGGGCTTTCAGTGCTGTACGTTGCCGAGATCGATTGATTGGGAGTTGAGATTCTGGCATTTTCCTTTTTCTAAGGTTTTATGCATTCAGATATTCCCACATTCCTTAACTTCACCTCAAAGTCCTAAAATTCTTAATTTTGTACTCAAAATTTTAAAATTAGGACACTAGCAATCGGGACTCGCAAGTCCTGGTCACCTTTGCTTCGGACTCAACCTACGAACGATTGTGATCTGCATTTGGCATTGAGAGTAGGTTGCCCATGGCCGTGATATGGACTACAGAACCCTGACACACGAAACTCAAACTTTATGCCTCGGTACCTCGGACTCTTAACCCTAAGACCGTAGCACCTTGGACTCCAACTTTAGGAGCAAAACTTAAATTTTGAATTCTAAACCCACTCTAATTTGCTCCCAAACTCTTAAGCGAAAGTTGAGTTGTAACTCAAAACTCATATTTGTCGTTTAGTGTTACGGTCTGGTAGTATTTTTCTTTATTGAGAAGTGAGATATCTTACGTTTTAATATTATAGATAGCAAATTCGATAACAAATTAGGTTACTCGGCTTATTTGAATGTATGTACTAAAAAAACTCAAAGCTCATTTTTTGATCAAATTTATGTCAGAATTTCCGCATGAGTTGGTGAGTAGCCCATCAATAATGTGTATTTTTTTTAGATTTATAATTATAAATTAATTGAACTTAACGGTTAAGATTTAATATGATCAAGTTCAACGGTTAAAAAATAAAATTTGAATGGTCTAAATTAAATCCAATGGTCTAAACAATTAAAACAAATTCTTTCATATCCACAAGTTTCATGACGTTGATCTAGTGATTTTTTAATATTTATTTGAATATAAATATTTCTAGTTTAAAATGTTCATTAAGTTAAATTAAAATAGTCAACTTATCTTTTAATTTAAAAAAAAGTTACGAAAAAATTTATCATAAATTCATTCATTAGTAATCCTGGGTAAAATATTTAACCCATCAAGGTTGAAACAAAAAAAACAGTTCTGGGTTAAAACTTCAATTTTTTGAATAAAAAATTTTAAATTTTAACCCAAGAATTAGAGATAATCTAGCCTAGTACTTATCATCACTAAGGCAATGCTCCTATTCTGACTCAAAAGTTTGCCTAGTTCACAGTTGATATATTCTAAAGGGCATGTGCTTTCTCAATTTGATGATTCTTTGCAATCGCTTCTTACCTTTTGCATTGTTTTGTGCCTTATTTTTACGTATGTCTCTTGAAACTCGATTTTAATTTCAATTGCTCTCTGTAACTTAAAATTCTTCATTTTACTCCCACTCAATATCCGCTTTACTTTGCCTCTTGAAACTTGATTTTGATCCCAGTTTATCTTCCTGAAACTTGAAAGTCGTTTCTATAAAACTCAATATTCGCTCATCATTGCCTTAGATATGTTAGTTTTTGTGGGTTTGATTTGGGTGAGCCAGGCTAATCAATTGCTTTCAAAAAAATTTTATCTCTTCAATTTCTTTTAAACTTAATATTCTCTTATTGTTGAATATTGATGCATAATGGAGATTTATAATCAAGTTTATTGCACATGTGGCATAGTTTTATTGGTATTGAGTCTCATAAATGTTTTAGGAGGTGATTTATAAGTTTCAAGGAGAAGAGAAAGTCCACAAGCAAAAGTGTAATAGAACGAATTTTAAGTTTCAAGAAGGAGTTTCAAAGAGGAAAATGATGGCTTTTAAGTTATAAGAGGGTAAAATAAATAAAGTTCCAAGAGGCGTACCTAAAAATAAATCTTGTTTTGTCATTGCGTACTCTACATTCCAATCAAACAAAGGTAGACAATTAGGCATGAGTCCACCTCATAGACAATTGGGTACTTGTACATTTCTAACTTAGATTTGGTCTTTTGACCCTTGGGGATAAGATTTCATTATCTTCTTCGATTTCTATCCTCCTAGCATCCAACAAGAAAATGGGTTTTGATCATTTTTTTGTTATTACCATTGAGGAAAGTTTGAACCTGCGATGTAGTTGATTAAAGGGAAAGATCATATACGCTAGGATAACCAATTGGTTAAATAGGTTTGGATCTTATGAGATATTTGAAAGGAAGATACGCTTTAGTTTAATACCAAAAGGTCTAACGAGCAAGTTTACAATATTTTTCCTTTTTCTTGTAAAAGGAGGATTCTTGGATAAAGATTACATACTAGTATATTATTATGTGTAACAGGTGTTTGAATTTAATACTCATGAAACGTGAAACAAACATCAATCTCATTGTTGAAACTTCTCATTTCTTTATAGGATGGATGGCCAATGTGAAAGTTTAGGATTTTATCTTTTATTGCCTTTTACAAGTGATATTAATAGAGGAGAAAATCAAATGGAAGACCTTGAATGTCGGAAAAAATATTCTTTAATTACTTGGAGATATAAATCCTAGGTTTCAATTCCTTTTCGTTGAATGAATTAAAAATTAGAATACAATTAAAAATTGAAAAGAAAGGAAAGGTCTTGAGTGCAGAATGGAAAACGTGTCTCTTATATTCAACTTTGCGTGAAAAGATTTCAGCTTGTTAACAAATACGACTATCCTCACATTTGCAAAGAAAAATGGGTAATAAGAAAAATTTAAGATGCTAACAGAGTTGTTTATGGGAGAAGGGGCTTGGGAGCAACAAGATTTTTGCATCTCTTTGATTTCAAAGAAAAATTGAAACAAAATAGAGCGAAGTTAAGGGGAAAGAGTGCGAGAACCACAAATAATAATTCTCTCGGTTTGTCCGCTTTCAACATCGAAGCACTTCCAATCAATCGGAACACGAGACATATTCATGGCCACGTTCAATACCACTCAATATGCCGGAGATTTTGATCGGAACACGAATGATATCCAACGTGTTATTATATAAATACTGTGTTTTGATCACAATAAAAAATTTGTCTGATATACCAACACCAAAAGCAAATTAAGCTCCGTCTTCCAACCCACACACGGAGAACACAAAACTCTCAAAAATCATCCTTTCTCTCTCTAGAACTCCAAATCCTTTCCCTTTCTCTCTGTAAAGTTCTCCACATGAGAAGGTGAATTGAAGAATAACAGGGAAGGCAATGGCTTTTCTGCTACCAAACTTCTCTCCCTCCTCCCCACTCCTCCAAACCAAAACCAAAGAAAAACCCATTCACCAAACGCTTGCCCAGACAAAACCCAGTTTTTCTTTCTCTCACCTCTCTCCTCTCGCCAGCGTACGGACGCCCACTTTGTCGGAGGGTGCGCAGCTTAACACCTCCAGGGTTGCGCAGGATAAGCAACAAAGGGACGACTTTTATGTCAATCTTGGCCTGGCCGTACGGACGCTTCGTGAAGATATCCCCTTGATTTTTTCCAAGGACCTTAATTATGATATTTATAGGTGATTTTCTCATCTGGGTTTCTTAAATTTTCTTTCATAGTGTTTGGTTTGTCAGGAAGTTCGTAAATTTGTTAAGAAATTGATATTTTTAGAAATTTGATGGATGTAATCATTTGATATGTTATTGGAAATGTAGAGTTACATTTGTTTGGATTCATTTGTGGAATTTGATGACTTTCAGGGATGATATAACATTTACGGATCCTTTGAACACATTTACTGGCATTGAGAATTACAAATTGATCTTCTGGGCTTTGAGATTTCATGGAAAGATTCTGTTCCGCGATATCTCCCTCGAGGTATATAGGATTTGGCAGCCTTCGGAGAATGTGATACTGATTAGGTGGAACATGAAGGGCGTTCCTCGGGTTCCATGGGAAGCGAAAGGACAGTTTCAGGGCACCTCGCGGTATAAATTGGATCGAAGGGGCAAAATATATGAACATAAAGTCGATAACTTGGCGTTTAACTTTCCACAGAAGCTCAAACCAGCTGCATCAGTGTTGGACTTAGTAGCATCTTGCCCTGCTAGTCCTAACCTGACATTTCTGTGGGGTCCTGCGGATGCGTACTCATCTTCGTGGTTGGAGTTTTATCGAGCAGTGAGGGGGACTTTGAATCGGGATAGTTACTTGCTTCCACAAGATGGTTTGGTCAGCTGATTAGCTACTTCAGATATTAATCTATATGGTAGAATAAGTAACGTATATGAACTCGTGCACTACGATTTGTATATGTTGGTAGATAGCAGATAATGGTTTTTGCTGAAGAACAAGGTTGTATATAAATAGGGAGATCCTGCAGAGTTCAATATACTTCTTGTGGTGGTGGAGGCAAAGAAGCGAGGGTACATTTTTTGAGCTTACACAGGTCGGTATACTATATATGAAATCTTGCTTCATTTTATGAAATTTGTTTAGCGTTTATAATGTTGCTTGACATGATCGATTCTGCCTCCTTTATCGCTTGATTGTCTGGTCCGGTCACTATTATCAGTAGTTTCTTGTCATCACTAATATCAAACATGCGTATGTTCTACTCGGAGTTATGTTAATCTCTTCCAGATTTACATTTCCGTAGTACAAAAACCTCGATGCCATCTCTACTTGTGACCTTTTCGCTTCTTTACTTAGAGCCTATCAAGCATTCGGAAAATGTTCTGCTTGATATCATCCATTAAGCTTTATTTCTTAACAGAAACTGCTGTCTAACTAACTGCATCCCGGACAAGCCAATTTCGTGCATTTCAGAGCAGATAAACCGGTTATTGAGTCGAAAATCAGTTTTGCTATGTCCGATGTGAGAACTGGTTTTGATTTTTCTTTGAAACCGGAATCGAATCTAGGATCTACCGTCACCCTACCCTTGCAACTTGAGTTCAAGCTCATCGGGAAATTTGTTTGCTTTCGTAAGCACGCATGAGTCATTAAAATCAGATTATGTAATGTTAATTGAGAGCCAATTTAGATGTATCAACAGATATATGTCGTACCCAGTGTACAAGGCTCCCGCTTTACGCAGGGTCTGGAAGAGGTGAATGTCGGCTAGCTTTACCCCCATTTATGGAGAGGCTGCTCCCAAGTCTCGAACCTGAGACCTACCGCTCATGGGCGAAGGCACTTGCCATCACACCAACTGCGACCTCTAGATGTATCATTAACAGATAAAAGGAGAAAATGATTGATCAATGCAATATGGTACGTACCATTAACAAGAAACTAGATTCACACAACAATAGTTGTTACAACAACAATGTTCAGTTCTCACATCATAATTTCTTAGCAACTACATATTGTTAACACTCCTGTGAGCTCGTAACATCAACGCGTGCAACACAACATACCGATGTGAACTGCGGTACCAAGTGAACAAAGATTTTACAATCCAGAAAACCCTAGAGTAGACCGATGCCATCAGTAGGAGCGCTACAGAAGATGGCTTCTTTAAGACAAACTTGATGGATGCCCTAAATCGGGTAAGATGAGTACGATATACAAGCAGAATTTTGTCCTACCACACAGGCTTCAACAACAGTAGGGGAAAACATGTCTACTAGATGATGCTGAAGTCCATATCTCTCGAATTGTTAGCATTGTTATCTTCACTCCTCTGAGCTCAATCAGAGTGGAAGTGCGTCCAAGGGTTTTATCGCTGCAACACCACTGAGATCAGGGCTAGAGTACTTCTCGTATGTGACCTTCAAACGTCCCACTCTGGCAGCTTTGTGAAATCTTAAGATCAACTCTGCACAGTCTCTGCAACAATCAAAATATCGATCGTCAAAGTTCATTCTGAAGCAATCACTAGGTAAGGAACAAAAGTTATTTACTTAGGTTTTAACGAAGTACCTGATTTGGGATACTTCATAGCGAGCATGTTTGCAGAGCAGTGGAGTCCAAGCCGGAGTAATCTGCAGGGTGCACCTTGCGACATATAGCGCTGCTGCACACAGCAGCGAGGGCTTGAACCTTAAAGCTTCATATTCAACTAAGCACAACTCGATGAGGTAGAATGCCAGATGTTCAAGCTGCAGCAATGTCCACAAAGCAACAGACTGTTAGCAAACTTAAAGTTTCACTCAGATATGACTTTATTGTTATCCAATCCTTAACTAATACTTCCATTAAGCTGTCGTATTCAACCCATTATACTTATAGAGTTAATCGCTAATCAAATTATCCGTTTTGTATACCTTTGTTTCCGACTGAGCAGCCTTGAGAAATCTTAACATGAAGACATATGGAGTAGGTGCATTAAGACGAAACTTCAACTTTTTAAGAAAAGCTTTCTCCTGAAGAGCAAATCCAGTGTTTACTGTTAGGACAAGTGAAAAGGGAACTATAGAATGCAGCAGGATATTTCCCGGTTCTAAGAAAAACACATACCATTCCAAGCACCTGTGCTCTTGTGTACGTCTCAGCTGAGATGCTAATTAAATCTTTGACCTGTAATTTTTCTTGCTGTAGAGAATTAGAAAGAAAATCACGAAAAATGCATACGAGTTGAGATACTAATATTTACCCTCGGATGCCAAAAGTCCTCATACTTTGATGCCAACAGAGTGCAGTGAGACCAACTAACTGCATGTCATCCTTCTTAACTGTTACTTGAGAAAGATATTGGTCGAGCAATGTCACCATGAGATAAAGAGTTTCTTGCATTAACTCAAATTTGTGGTGTACCTGTTCCCAGATGAACAAAAAAGTTAGCACAGCAAAATCAAGGGGACAGCCAGCTGATGAAATGTAAAATTGAACTAAGCAAGACGAAAAGAAAAAAAAAACATGACAGTTTATCAAAAGGTAAAATCAGTACTTCAATTAACCAGTTGACCAATATGCCTCGCATATGAGGAGTAATGTCTGCCTGAATCGACAACAAATTTTCTGGAGGTGGATTCTGTGCCTGCAGTTGAAAAGCAATGTAAAAAATCCAAGAAGTCAGAACTCGAACTGCTGGAGAGGAGCCAGAAAGCGGAAACAGGAAAGAACTAGAACTACATGAAATATAGTCTTTCAACCCATAAGACAATCATGAAAGTAAAATGGAGAAACGTAACAAAAACTTGACAAGACCTATGGACAATGCTACTGAAGGCCAGCATGAATTGAGTCCCTTTTATCATGGGGGAGGTAAATTGTTGAAAGTATGAAGAAAATTTTGAAGCCTACTATCCTTACCAGACTAAGATGAAATCAATGGTATTAGAGAGAGCATAACAATTACCTCAGAAACCCAGTAATACTGATAGATCTCATCAACATAATCGGAAACTTCCAGTTGATTGCAATCATCATCAATGCTTGGTAGTTCTTCCTCCTTCATAGCTTCAACACGTTCCTCTAGTAACTGCAATTAGGTATAAGTGTGATTAAAGTCCACAAATAAGAATAAAGGTATCACTAGAACATGGTAAGCCCCAACCTTTGATCCGGTCATAAGTAGAGATGTGTAAGATCTCCTCCTATTTGACTTTCTCCTGGAAATGATAGTTGAAGCACTCTGTCTGCTGTTTTCTTCAGATGGGAGCTCTACCTGAGTGGCTTCATGCTTAACATTATCAGGAAGGAAAGCCGTAATGACTTTTTCAGTTTTGGATGAAGTTGCAGCAGCAGAAACTAATTTGTTTGGACCTGATGCACCCTTGGATTTCAAAGTCCTTTGCGACTCATGCGCCTTCAGTGTGGACAAAGTTGGCTGGATCATAATAAAAATAAAGGGAATATAAGTAGAATGTACATTGATTTCATATAGATCTAACATGCCAAGAAACAAAGTCAGGTTGATGCAGTATTCTCATATTTATAGATACCTGAGATAATGTACAGAACACTAAATAAAATATAATAATGTAAAGCAATCACTCAGGTAAAATGATAAAATGAATGCACTGCCATGAAGCTTCAAGTTGATGCCAATACGGTTGCTGTGTTGAGCAATAACACAGATTCAACAGATTTCAGAGACCAAATGATGTAAAAACATTGACAGATTGTTTCAAGTACTGAAAAGAAAATATGGCAATGCAATTGGAAGTGTTTTACTGTTTGAAATAGACAACGGTCGAGCAACTATATGTCACAACTGGTCCAACAAAATGACATTAATTTTTTCCCCTTTGGGTGAGGTGGGACATGAGTTCTATATCTGATTACACTTACCCTGACAGAATTTCTTGGCAATACACGAGCATTTGAATTGCGTTGACCCCTGCAATCTCAAAGCACATGCAAATTATTAATAGATAGGAGGCTTACCCTTGTTTAACTAAGACATGAAAGATTAAATGATCATTCAATGAAATAACTGGGAGGAGCCACAAGTTTCAGAGAATTTGGGGGTGAACTGCAGAATACATGTTCTTTGTCTTACTCCCTTATAGTTCTACTTCTAAATGCATCTGCTGTTGTATGTTTTGAGAACAAACAATCCTATCCATAAAAATGCAAGAAAGATATTGCCAGTCCATTCATTCAGAAACAAAATGAGATTTAATGGAATAAGGAGCAACATCAGCAAAATCTTTTAACTGGATTTAAGTGGGAAAGAAAACTAGTAGTATGGATCACTGTCACTTACATAATCACAAAGCCATCACTCACTCGATTCCTCAACAGATGGCTCCTAGCATTAGCGTTTACTCTAGATGCTACTTTCTTGCCAACTTTAACCTTAACTGTATTCCAAAATGCCGTTTGGTCAGACATCCTGTGCCATGCACTTGTCAAATTAAATAATTCACGCCATCTTACCATTACACTCACTTTTCCTTCCAGAATTTTCAGAAGTACCAGCATTGTCCTACAAGCAGGAGAACAGAAAAAGATAAATGTCCAACTTATAATCCTACTCCCGTTAAACTAAACCAAAGACCATAAATATAATATATCACACCAACCTTTGGAATACTTGCTTGTTCAGGGTTGACCTTTAGCACTGGCAGAGATTTCCTTTATAATGGAGAGGGGAAATAGAAAATACGTCAATAACAGATGCACATCTTATTCACAGTAAATAAACAAACATGCTTTGCATATCAGATACCTTAGCAGCTTAAACGAAGTATAAGAAGTGCTCCTGAAAAAAAGAAGAAGGAAAAGAAATCTAATCAAGGGTCTTTATATATGTTTAGTTTCATAAGCATAGGAGCCAGAGAAGAATTTTTTGAAGGCACAACAAAAAAATTGTGGCACAAATTCTAATTTCTAATAAAAAGGTGGAAAACAAAGGTTGTTCAGACCTGCCATAGGTAACATCAGACTCACGGTTTAGACCAATAGCCTTGGTCCCTTGATTCTCTGAAGGGGCCTTCAAGTCTTTAATACCTAGAGTTTGTGCATAATGGAAGATTTTCAAACAGTATTGTTTAATCTGGGATAACCACATTTTGGATGTATTAAAGTTACCTCTCTTGGAAGTCTGTAACTTAGAAGTAGCTTGGCTAGGGCTTTCTCGCCCTTTTCCCTGATAGAAGTTACAAAATAATCAATACTTGCAATTGGAAGAATATATTGCAATATATGAAAATGATTGGCATTGATACTTGCTAAGCCTTTCTAGAAAAATAAAACCCTGTCTTTGTGCTGTCAAACATACAACGGGACAGTCGAAACAATAAACTGAGTTGACCCTTAAGAAGCAAAACATGGACAGGAAAAGGCATGCTAGGATTTAGCATTCTTACCAGGAAGGATCTCCTTGATGATAAATTCAAAGTCCTAACGCCTGTACCCACTGAAACCCTAAAGAGATACAAAAAATACAATACTAAATTAATGCAAAATCAAAGGGTCTTGAGCCTGCTCACATCTTTATTAGCATCTATAGTTATATCCATCGGTATGCATATATGCCAAAAAGTATTGACCTCACAAGCGCAAATAAATATTATGATATCAAATGCATACCGCTGCAAAGATTTAATTCTCTCACTTTTACCAGTCCTGCATTGAAGATAGCCCAAACTTAGAACTTCTTAGCTCAAAACCCAAAATGGAGGAACTACTGGAGCAAATGAGAAGGTACCAACATTTTTTTAGAGGCATCACCCCCTACAATCCTAGAAGAATTGCTTTTGACATTGCTGACATCGGCCAATGCTCTTCTTCCAACATTTGCATTTGCTAAGATAAGGACAACACGAATTTTAAGAAGGAACTGATTCAAGATGTGTAACTCAACTAACAAGTACAGTCTGGTTGAACCTTACCTGCCGAGTTACCAAGTATGCCTTTTCGCTTCTCCATACTTTTCAAACCAGCCTTGATAACAAAACAATTTACAGAAAGAGAGCAGTAAATATACAATTAAAACAAAAACTCCTTATTACACAAGAAATAACACTCCATACCAATCCACCGCCAAAAAAACAGACGAATGAGGAGGTCATTGGTTACCTTTAAAGCAGCTGTATTCTCCTGTGTTGATACTTTGTTAACTGCTGCATAAGTCCTGAAACTAAAAGGGGCAAACAAATATTATTCTCTTACAACCTAAATGGTTGCCAATAACTAAAACTTAATGTTCTAAAACAACTTAGATATTGATTAAAACCATAACATTCGATAATCGAATTGAAATTACACATGTTTAAAATTACAATACCTGCTCCCGGCATCAGCTTTAGCAGTGTCACTTTCTGTATAAACCTTAAAACTTGCAACACCAACTGCTTAAAAAATCGAAATATAATGTCAGAAATCAATAAATCACCACCAAAAGAACTTTAAACCAGCAGAAGAACCAAGAATTGCAGTTCCGCACCACTAGAGCGTGTCCAGTTGTCTTTTCCCACCCGATTTTGTCCTACGCTGAATTTTGGCTGAAAATTTGAGAAAAACCAAGCAGGTTTCGCAGATGTCAGAATCACTTTCACCCAAAAGAAACACCAGAGAAAGAAATCAAAGACAGTTAACCGGGAATCGAAAATCTTAGGCTTTCTTTCTGACCTTAGCAGCCAACATTTTGCTTCTCTCTTGAAGTGTCACAGCGCTCTGTCGATGATCCAGTTTCTTGAAAGACAGAGAGAATTACAATCAATTCAAGCTAAAATTCAAAAGAAAACAACCTCCAGAAAAGAAACCCCTAATTTCTGAAAGCTAAACCCTAATTTTTTCAAAAGAACTTCGATTTTGTATGAACAGTAAAATTCAAATTTCAAAAAGCATCCCTAATTGAATCGATCCTTCGAATAATTCGATTTATAAATAATTAATTGGAAACGATAATTTCTTGCATAGATTCGTAGAAGGAAGCGTACCTTAAACGACGTCATTTTGGAGATAGATCTTGCTCTCTCGGATTCTGATCTTCGGAGATGGGGAGGAATGAGAACGGTCGACCGTTGCAAAGTTCTGAGTCTTCCTGTTAAAGCGGCGGTCTTTATTTTCGTTGTTTGAAATAAGGATGCCATTTTACTTTACTACCCCTGTTCTCAATTTTTTTTTTTTTGTCAAAGGTACCCCTGCTTTCCTCAGTGCAAACTCCTCATTGTAAGATTTTCTGAATAAAATTTTAAAAAAAAAAAGATTTGAACACTCTTTCTCACCTCATACACATTCCTTTAATTTCATAGTTATTTCGAAGTAGACGTTTATTTTAAATTTGTAAAGCAGTTTTAAGAATCAAACATGTTAATTTAACGATATTTCTCTTTTCAATGTTAGAAGTATTCAGATCTTTACTGATTAAAAAAATATGAGTAGTACTTAATGCATGTGACAAAATCCAAAACTATTTGATTAGTGATGGAATTCCCATGTGACAAACCAAGCCAAATAAGTGCTCAAAGCCTCAAACCACAAATTATAAGTTATAATTTGTTCCAAAAAGTTTAAGGAATATTAGTTGTTCTCACCACTAGTGTTAGGATATACCCATAATCTCGAGCTGAAAACACTTACGCAGGGCATACCCACAATATTCTTAATGAAGAACATGGAAAATAACAATGTAATCAAAATTATAATTGCTCCAGTTACTCCTTAATCTAGGTTGCACTTGTAGTTGCTCCCTCTTCCAGACTCATTCCCTTAAAACCTATCAAACTGGTTTATGAACACTCCTAGGATCCACACCAAAAAGATTAGACTTAGGCTTCTGCGTCTTCGTGTTGTACACATACGAGTTTTCTTCCTTAAAACAATAGAAACTGAACTCATCACCATCAACACTCGCTGGAATGATCAAACCTTGACCTTCAGGAAGAGGCAGAAATTTCTCCATAAATTTATGTTCATGTTGTACTATAAAAATTGTATGCATTTCGTACCTTTAAATTTTGGTAAAATTGAGACCGCGATTATGATCGGGCATAAAGAAAATTTGAGAGGAAGAGAGTAACTCGTTTAAAAATGAGACAAGGAGATACGAACAGATGGAGAAAGAGCGGCAAGTCTAAGAGTGAGCGAGGATTAGAACAATGAAAGAATAAATAAGAGTCAAAAAGAGGAGTTCTAAGGGCAATTTTGTAATTTCATTCAACACGCAAATTACATTTTTGGTCATATGGTTTGACTCATTTTCCACTTCAGTTTGTGTTATTTCAATTTTAGTAAATTTACTCTAGTTTCAATTTCAATAATGTTTTTTTTTATTTTTTATAAAACGATATATTTACACTAAAGGGTAAGAAAATAAATTTGTATCAAACTTGATATTTACCAAATTAAGATATTTTACTATTGTAATAATAAGTGACTAGTAGTAATCAAGTTTAAATCATATGCTCTGTTGCAAATGGTGGATTGCTCTGTTAGTTAAAGCATTCCTCTTTAACCCATTGCGGCGGCCCCCGGGACAAAATTATATATTATATGCAACAACTGGATAACTAAAAGGTTCAAATTCAATTAACATAACAACATTCTTAAAGAAGAACATCATCTAGAAATTAACATAACAACATTCTTAACGAAGAGCATAGAAAAATAACACTGTAATTGAAATGCTCCCAGTTACTCCTCAATCTTAGCTGCACTTGTAGTTGCTTCCTCTTCCAGCCTCATTCCCTTAAAGCCCATCAAGCTTGGCCTATGAGCAGTCCAACGATCCACACCAGAGTATAAATACTTAGCCTTCTGCATCTTCGTGTTGTACACAAAAGACTGTTCTCCCTGAAAACAATAGAAACTGAAGTCATCACCTTCAACATTCACCGGAATGATCACATCTCGACCTTCCTGAAGAGGTGGAAGTATTTTCTCCATAAACTTCAACGGAACAACGATCTTTTTCGGGCTCCATTTGTTCTCCTTGGAGTCTTCACACACCAAGGCATGAAGGGTGGCATTTACTATCTCAACCACAGCCATATGCTTGTTCCAATTGATGACGCAAACTTTGTTTAAATCGGGAAAAACTCCCTGAGGTAGGGTTGCTGTTAAGACAGACTCATCCACCAGATCAAGGCGTTGGACTTCTAATATTGACAGATCTTGGCCATCTCTTTTCATAAACTCAGCAGAATAACAAACCCTACCATTCATCTTTTCAGCTGCAAAAAAATTACATCTCACTACCCTTCTGCCTTGTTCCTTGAGCAAACCCTGATTTGGGTGCGTCCAGGGTCTCCACTTTTCATCTTTCCCAATGGTCATAATTTGAAACCCTAATTCATTGTTCTCGACATATAAAGTTACCACTTTGATCTCACCAGTCGATAAATTGAAAGCAGATGACATTCTTCTCGCACCCTTATGAGCTTCAGGCAAGTTGAGTACTCGGCGGGTTGCCGGATTTCTGATGCGGCAAAGGTGAGTAGTAATATGCTTCTCCAGAAACATCCCAGCAACACGTCCCATGCCCTCGTAATTTGAATCAAAGTAAGGGGCTACATGGTTCTTTTCGCTTTTTAGTCGAAACTGTAGATGGATAGGACTGACCCGTTTCATGTGCTTTAAAATGAAGTTGTATTCTTCAATCAAAGAGCACCATGTTTTGCTGACACACTTGAACCGGAGTAATGCCTCTACAGGCAACCAGCTCAGAATCTCAATAATGATTTCAAAGGGAAGCTTTGGTTCTTCTGGTTTGGGGTCCAATCTCCTCCTCCTCCTCCTACTTCTCAGGTGGTAGCCGTGCGCCATCTGCATATGAGTGTACCACAATGCTCATTGTAAATCGTTAAAATTGATAAATCTTAAATATGTACTAATAGACTCCGAGTATTTAACTATTTATAAATTGATCCTATCTTCCCTCTTTTCTTTTTCTATCCCTTTGTCAACCCAATCTTTCTCCTATAATCCTCCCTCTAAAGTTTACCTTTTCCAATCCAATCATTTTTTAGTAATGTGAGATTTTTAGTTGTTAGTTCGACTGTTTTTGGGTGCTAGGCTTGCTACTTTTGTTTGTATGAGGTCTTATACATGGTGTACACTTGGGCTGTGTTTGGTTGGTGAGGAAAACGACTTGGGAAAGATAAATTCTTTTCACATGTTTTTTATTTTTTTGAACAAACGATATAATAAATGTTAGAATATAGGGAAAGCAAACTCTTGAGCCTCTATGTTAATTTTTTTTTCCAACATTAATTAACATTAATTATAAATATTATGACAAAATTGTCCTCATTTAATGTTGAAAGACCAATTATACCTACAATATCTTCATATTCCACTTTCTTTCCTTCAACTTTATCCCTATTGATGTATAATATTTTTTTATCCCTATTAATATATAAAAGGCTTTTTAGCTAAAATATTCTCTGAGATTGGTATAACTTCGCACTTCGGTTTTTGAGATTTAAAATTGATATAATTGAGCATTGAGTTAGTCCACCGTCAATCATTTTCGTCATTCCAAGAAAAATCTCTGTTAAATAATGACCAAAATTACAAAAATGCTCTCATTTTTTTGTCAAATCATTTGTCCCATTATTTATTAAATTGAGAGTATTTTTATCATTCTGGTCACATAGTTTTTTTACGGAATAACCAAAATGATTGATAGTGGACAAATTCAGTGATCATTTCTATTGATTTTAAATCTCAGAAACTAAAATGAAAAGTTATGTCAAACTATTTTGACTAAACTACCTAAATAAAATATCAATATCTTCTAGCAGATTTCCCATTGTTACCCAACAGTGTAATCGGGAAAGTGCATTGCTCATCTTCCTAAGAGGAACACATATAATTATCTTATAGTTTATTAAATAAAAAATTTCTTTTGATACGAAAAATAAATAATCAATAAAAAAACAATCCACTGCCCTCACATCAAATCGTCAACAAAGTGAAATTTAAAATATTCCTGTTTTTTTTAAGATTTATTTCAAGCAGATATGGCCATCATCATGCTAATCTAATAATCTATGCATTAAAAAATCAATGTAGCTAAAAGAAAGTTAAACAAAACAGAATGTAGCTTAGATTAAGGATTTTTTTTATTCTTTTGAGTTTTCATACTAGAAATTTTCCATATTAACAATCATCAATAAACCAAATCTAAATGAATAACTCATTTGACTATATAAAATGATTTTCGTACCTCTGACTTTTGGCTAAAATTGAGATTGAGATTCTGATCCGGTGAAAAGAAAATTCGAGAGTGAGAGATTTCTGATCCAGTGAAAAGAAAATTCAAGAGTGAGAGAGTAACTCGTCTGAAAATGAGACAAAGAGATGCACCCCGAAGGAGAGAGAAAATTCCAACCAGCGGCGGGTCTACGAGTGAGAGAGGATTAGACCAACGAAAGAATAAATAGTAGTCGGAACGAGGACTTCTAGGGATTTTAAGGGTAATTCAGTAATTTCATTCGACACGCGCATATAGTTAAATTACATTTTTGATCCATATGGTCTGACTCATTTTCCACTTTGGTTTGTGTCATTACAATTTATAGAATTAATTTTTTTTTTAAATGCAATAGTATATATACACTAAAAGGTAAAAGAATAAATTATTATCAAACTTATCATCTACAAAATTCAAACTTTTCATTTACAAGTGAAGAGATATATAATATCATTGTAGTACTAATTAAGCGGCCAATTGTTATCAAGTTTAAATCGTATATTCTTTTAAATTATAATGTGAATTTGTGAAGTCAAACTAACCATGTCTATTGTCTAACCAAAGTGTGTCATGTTGGTATGAGCTCAATGTGCCTAGATTACCCTTGACATCGTAAGCAGACTGCTATCTCAACCCTAATGGACGAAGCAGACATCATGTCCCTCGAACAGAGACATGCGTCTACCCCTCGCAACTCTCTCCGTATTGCACCTAAGCATGCATGAGAATGCTCCACTGAGTCTCTACCATGTCAAAGTACTCTCCCGCCTGATTCCATGTTCGCCAAGATTATCTCTTGCATGTCTGAGTCCAGGAACGAGTCAATGACCTCTAGATAACTC